TGTGTACCACAGTTGTTGTGCTAAGTAGTGGGATTAGGTGAAAATTTAACCTCAAGATTTCAAGAATTGCACAACGGTGAATCAACAAGAAATCTTTATTTAAGTTTGCAACAAGAAATCTGTAAGCTGGGACAAAGTTATCCCAGCCTGCCTCTTGCTATAGCCAACTCTGTGACCACAAAAACACAAAAACACACCCATCCACACATCATCCACATCCTTCTACATATTAACCAACAACTGCACACTACAATGATTGATCCACTTCCAACACTCTACCATACCTCATTTTCACCTTCAAGTACATTGAACCTGATACAACTTCACAATGTACCCCAATTCCAACTTGAAGTTTTACTAACACCCTGTCAACAACTCCCACTTTATCCTCAACTTCACCTTGCTTGACAATTATGTACCTCATTGAATCACCACATCAATCTCCTCAGTACTCCTATTTCTACAATCCCATTGAGCTAATGTTACCTCTTATTTCTTGATTATGCTGCTTTTTGCATCAATCAATTGGTTGCATACTATTTTATACAATGATGGAGTTGTTCAAAAAATTTATACATGCTTATGATGATAAAACGAATATGGATTGATTGAGTGATGGACATCTGAGCAAAAGATTAGAAGAGGGTGAAATGATCAAAAGTGAAAGATTGGGGATGAAACCAAAGCAATTGTATATATGTTGAATTAAATGGCAATGCTGTTAAGCATGTGCATGTGAGCAATGAAAAAACACCAATGTGTGTTGCCTGAATTAGAGGTCTGCTTATCTGTCAACTATGAGATGCTCTGCGGAGCAGAGCATCCAATACAAATGACAAGTTACAATAAAAAACATATAAAATAAAAACATTACATATACATCTCTCTCACTCAAGTCTCAAGAGTGTAAAAGTAACACCTTCAAAAATTGAAACTACTATGTTTAAAATAGGTAGTAATTTCTTACCCGTCTTTTCTTAATCAACCAAGGGTCCAGGAGTAGCAAGAAACCCTGAAAACCCTGGACCAGGCAAAACATAAGACCAGCCATTACCCAGCCAACGGATACTAAAGCTTTAGAATTAACAATCCCTGACTAGGCAAGAAACAAAACGTGGCATAGCCGAAAGCCTAATTATTAGAAACTAGAAACAGATAAATAGAAGCGTTCGTTAGTAAGGAAAGAGGATCATCCGTTACCACATCTTTGAAAAATACCATTTACCTTTTAAAAATCATCTACCCTTTTTTCTTAAAAACCTACACCTGTTTAAAAGATTAAAACTCCGCTTCATCTACTCATTTTCTTTTAGAAACTTCAGAAAACTATTTGTTGATCAAAAACTTTGTTCTCTCTGTTTCGAAAGATTACTTTTCTCTATTTTCTCGTTATCTTTTCCCAGAGGACTTCAAAGATCGTTTAGTTCCGCCTATTCGACTGAAGCTCTTCGACGTCTTTTTTTTTTTTTGATCAAACCTTGATTCAAACCAACGCTAAAGCGTGGCCTAAAGAATAAACACCGAAGAATCTCTTCGTGCTCACTTTAGAAGGCGATCAAGTAAGTGTACTTGAATCAGCTAAACTGGCAGCAGTATTCATTCTGCACCAAAGACATTTATAAACTAACAACTTATAAAATTACTTACTTACAGAGAACTGAAAACTAACTTCCTAGTATCTAACTTCGATTCGAGTCAAACTAGGCAGATACATTCTGTAAGTATCATTCAACTTACCTTTTCCGGATAAAGATTTAACACCCTTTTGGAACTCAAGTTGACATTATCTCCCAGCTAGAGCTGACAACTGTAGTCCCAGTCTTTGACTCAGAGTCTAGATTTCTTTAACTCCAAATTAAAGACAACAACTGTGGGATTTGCTGACAAATTAATTGACCCCGGCTAACAATTGTTAACTTTACTAGCTCCAATTTTGACACAAATGGCTGTGGGTACTCCAATAAAATGAGAGATGATAGCTATAATCTTGCAATATTGATAATTTTTTTGTAAAAAAAGTCAATACTAAATGTGTCAAGTTCCATAAACTCAAATACGTCACCAAATAGGTATCTGTCAATGAGATAAAGTGATACTTGATGTAAACTGATATTGAAACCATTAGGTGGTTAGGGGTTAGGGGTTATTGGTTAGGTTTAGGGGGTTAGGCTTAGCCTTAGGTCAAGGAGTTTTTCACCCCAAGGGTATGTGACATCACCTCTGCTCCAAATCACCAGTGTATCTCCCAACCCTGGATCTTACCACAATTAAACCTCTCAAGTAGCATGGCTTCTGAAATCTGCACTGTACAATTCTGTTTCCTATGCATGCTGCCAGCAGCAGCACTCTAAAAGCACTCCCTGCTATTTCTATAACTGTCTTTAGCTGCCTTGACTATGTGATATGCTTGGGCTAGCTTTGTATTACTCAAAATGTATCAAAATCTACATTGGCATTAGGTCATGAAATATGTCCTTCTGCAATTACATCCAAACAACTTCTAAAAAAGCTATTCTACTTGAGTGATCTTTGAACAAGCACAGGCCCCACCATCCTATGTGGATTGAGTTCAGTGGAGCCCATCTGATGACTGCGGCGCCCGCCGCCCAATCTGGCTAGTGATCCATGAAAAAAGGGTTTTAAATTGACTTGAAATGAGAAGAATTCAGTTATTTGTACTCAATTCACTCATTGATAATGAATCATCAACTTGAATAAATCATCAATTGGTTGTACCAAAGATTTTTGCATAAGGGATAGTCATACATACACACACAGTGAGAAAATTTCTCACCATAATACAAAAGTTGCACATATGTAGTGTGGGTGTTATGGCTCAGGTGTGCAGTATTGGATCCTTTTATGACAAACTGTACTATTAATCAAGTTCCTCTTCCAACTTGATTAATCAAGTTCCTCTTCCAACTTGGGAAAGTTGAATGATTAGGCTCCTGTTAAACCTATGGGGTTTTTTTATATTGCATTTGGACGGTTCAAGAAGAGAACCGCAAGCCACGTGGCCGTTGAGTTGCAATCAGTCTTTTTAGGGTTGCTCAATCCTTAAAAATCTTGTTTCCAAAGTGACAAATGCTCTAAAAATATGTTTTACAGCTCTGTAAATTCAGGCACACCATCCCAACCATTTTTTTGGCTTGGTTGTCTGTTTTTTTAATGAAAGAGGAAGACCTTGAGAAAAGAAATTTTGAGGAAAAAAGTCTCTTCTTGGCCAAAAATTGTTAGAATTCAGGAAGAAAAAATACAAAGAATGGAAGGTTTTTTTGGCTCAATTGTCCCTGTCTTTTGAAAATTCAGGGACAGTGTTTAAAAATTCTAAGGCCAATTATGAGATTGCAAAACCATGATCCACCTCTAAAGGTGGTTCACAAGCTTAAAATTTTACTCAAAATTTATGGAGCCCAAACAAGATGTAAAATATAAAATTAAAGAGCTGTAAAAGCCCTTCTTGAACCACCCTATTGTTTTGAGTTCTTTTGTAGCCGCTATGCTATCAAACACTTGTAATATGTCCAGCATTGGTAAAACCCCTCTGGCTGTATCAGGGGAAAGGATTGCTGTTGGCTGTTTCACTGAGGTTACGTGTTTGATAATGTATAATGAAAAAGGGCAGTGAAGTAAGGAGAAGATAGATACTACTATACTAGGGGTTGTTGCATATTTGGCAGAAGTGGTTGGGTGATGGCTCTTGCCCAGGTCCATTGGTTTCCAGATCTCCATGTGGAGTTGCATCAGTTGGTGATAATCTTGAAGCATTTGGTGTTTGAAAGGATGTGTTTGTTCATTTTGGCAGAGTGTTCTAAATTGTGTTCTAGCTTGTTGTGGTGTTGTTTGTGGTTCTGGCAGATGAAAAGATAATAGTCAACTGTTTTGATGCCCTCTTGGCAGTCACATACATGGTCATTTGGCTGTTTGATGTGGTTTAAATATGCATTGTGTGGTGTGTGGCCTGATTGTAGTGGTGGATCTTCATTGATTCATTTCTGACTGGATTCCTGTAGGCTCAGTCTGGTCTAGGTGAAGAAATGTGAGTAAAGTCTCACAACTATCTTTCTTCAAGTTTCTTAAGATTGATTTCAAAAGTAACTCTTGTACGGTACCAAACCTAATTCAGTCCCACTCTTCATATCCTACAAAGGCAATCTCTGAATGCACAAATTCATCAAATGAAAGCTACGAGTCGGCCACTTTCAAACTTATCATCAAAATCCAGTTGAAGATACTAATCATGTATCTTTTTTATTTATCTCTTCCTCATTTCTTCTTTTTTCAACATGACAAAATCAGAGTATCATGTTCACCAACGTAACCACAATTGATTTGGTAAACTCAACCATGAATGACCGATGTGTTCACTCCACTTCAATCTGAAACATACTGATTTAAACTTGAGTTTTTTTCTTTTGCAGAAATTCTTCATCCAAGAATCACCTCTTTGAATTCATAAAAAAGAGTGATCATGTTCATCATCATAACCACATGGAAGGGCAACAATAATGGCTATTGTATTCATTGATTACTTTTTTCAACATATCTTTTCTGTTGAACCTTACATCTCTGTCAATTTCAATTTTTGAAAGTAGTTATTGATTTCATTGGATCAAGAGCTGGTTTCATGGAAATCACCTAGAGGATCATGTCTCAGTAAACTAGAAGAAGTAAAGTGATTGATCTGTACAATGATTCAAGTTCTATGAAGGGGGCTCGAATTTGCAAAACTTATGAAACACAACTGTTCCTAAATCAGCATGCTGCATAAAACTTGTCAGCTTTTTGAAATGACTTTGAAAAGGCCATGTACGTTCTGGAAGGCACGTGCTTGATATGACGTTGTTTATTGAAAATTCCAAATTGCATGCCTCTGATGCTAAAAGACGCAGATTTTATGTAGGATCGAAAACCCGTGAAGCAGATGGGGATGATTTCAACATCCAAAGAGTCAATCTAAAGCAGGATAGTAAACTTTGTAATAGATTCTATGTACCCTAATCTGTACACATACCTGTAGCATCACAGCTACCGCATCCGACAGCTTTACATGTAGCGTGCTTTCCAGGGGAGCAGGCTTGGTAGGCGCACAACGCACGCTCATTGCGCGAGCTGTCAGTATCCTCTTCAAGCTCAGTACGCGATCTACTAAACCTCGTGAACCCTTGGATATCTTCTGCATCCTCTACAAATTTACACATCATTGGTACGATTGAAATACTTAAGATCAAGCTAAGTAGAACCATTTTTCTTAATTGGATACCAATCATGGTTGATGATGTAATATTGAACTAAAGTGAATAAGGTAATTCAAATTCATCAGCCATCAATGATCAATGATCAATGACCAAAATTATGTCAAATATTAAACAAGACCGACCAAAAAACTTGATATCTTACTCGGAAGATAATGATGGTTGGGCACGAAAAGAAGCTGATCCTAAACCTTCATAAAGTCATTGCCCATTGCCTGGCTTTAGTTTTTGATCAAGGGCAGGCTTCAGGAAAAAATGAGATGATTACTCACGTACTGCTTTCGGGAGTGGGTGTGCGGAGAGGTCAGTATGGTCTATGGTTGATCGAGCCAAGTATCTTTAAAATCAAAATATGGGATATCAGCATTTGTTGTTAATTGAGATGTGCTTTTACGCCTGAGGTCTGATTATGTCATCAGGAGATCAAAATAAGGCCAAGATGGACTCACAATCCCTTCAAGCGAGCTTAAGTGAATGACAAAAATGAATGTCGATAGTCTTTACGATATTTGATTAGCTTTGAAGCTGTTTTAATTTGGGAAGGAAAATTATCAAGTTGGGGACTGATGTTGTGTGGTTTACGACACGAGCGGGAGAGAATTTATTGCAAAATTTGCCATCCTTTCTTTTGAATTCTTCCAAATAATTTCTTTATCAAACTTGTCGGCTAGGAAACTGGAGAGTTTCAAACGAAAAGTTTCATAACTAACTCCCTCCCTCCTCGCGAGGAGCGAGCGAGCGACCTGATTGTGTTTGGAAAAGTTTACCATACTAGAGGTCTCGCGCGCAAAATTGAATCGCAGTCTGAGTCTGAAGGGGTTTCTTTATGAGAATCAATAACCCGATCACTCACCAACAAACTTCAGGCTGAAACTTCGTGGTGATATTCCAAAACCACAGCTCACAATTATGAAAGGGAAGAGAGACTATAGCTGAGGCAAGACATCGATGTTGAGCTTAAGCGATCAATTAAATCCAGTCCTCTCCTAATTAAACACGTCTTTCGAAACGTCTTCATCAACCTGGTCGTTCAGAAACCTGAATGTCTTGCCATACGGTCTCGCGCTCAAAAAATAGATTGCAATCTGAGTCTGAAGGAGAGGTGTTTGTGGGCTCTAGCAGTTGTGCTACTATCATTTACTTTCGCATGTTCTGTTCATCCAAATCCGTTACTATCAACAAGAAGTCAAACCCGTTTTTTTGCATTATTAGTCGAGTTTAATCTTTTGTTTCACCACCGTCCCTCCCAATCTCACTTATAACGTATCATTTTTGGTGTTAGAGACCGCCATCGGGCAGAGGCTTTCTTCTCTTCGCTGCAAACCGCTCAGAGCGTGCGACGCGTAAAGGGACTTGTTGGAGTTTATTTAAGGAAACCCCTCGGGTTTGCGCGGTATCCATCTTAGTGATGTTGGTCAGGAAATTATAGTCAACCTATTCACCTCAAACTAATTCTGCGAACGGCCCCGGAAGCCTTGAAACATGATAACAAAGTTTTAGCACTTTTCCCTCTTTTATTCCCGAATGTCTGAAAGAACGAATGTTTTGGCCGGGGATTCACAAGTGCTTTGTTCTTCCATTTCCGTTTCAAACCCCGATCACTATTGTGGCTATTTTCACGTTGACAAATATACCTCATGAGGCTCATTCTTTGTTGCTATGATTATTTCTTTTCTTCACCAAACTGTAATATACACTCTTTTTCAGAAAGCTTGGCCCCAATTCCTTGAAGAGTCTCGAGGTGTACAAACATTTTTCAAATGTAAATTATATTCTCTTAACTTTCACTCAATGATTTTTAACGACAAATCTTCGAATGAGGGTATTCCGATGACATTCTTCATTGGACGGTATCTTATTGCCTCTGCACTTATTCCTCAATCCATGACATGCCATAGTGTAGGAGAAATCTTGTACGGATGAGTCAAACTTGGCAAAGTATATAACCTACTGAGACCCATATATTGCAATGATTTCAATTGTTATCCAATTCAAAACACAAATGTAAGCCCGAGCGAAGCCACCAAAGGCAAAAGTATTGTGATCATAGCTTGCCCCACTCGCCATCATGATATGATTCTCACTCTTTATAAAGCAGAGACAGCATATACGCCATGTACGGGGTCAACATGAGCCGCTCAGAGATGGACGTCCGGTGAAAGCACGCAAAGTCCATTGTGTTCGAGAAACTTTGGGTTCAGGATGACACATCTGGATCCGTGTTTTCCTTCGAGCCCTCATGCATCTAAGGGCACCCGATGACCTTTTTTGAAAATCTCAAATTTCACACCTTTAGTTATACATAAGATACTCAAACACCGTGCAGAATCCAAACTACGTGAGGCAAGTGGGAAGCATTCAAGAGGACATCGTAATCAAGGAGATCAGGATAGATATGTATATAAGTATTTGCTGAAGAAACTTGGATAGTGTTGCTTTTCTTTAACCGAAGTTGCTCAAAGTGGATTGGGTTAACCCTTAAGCTTCAAGCTAAGTGCATTTATGTAAGTACATAAGCTCAGCTTTGGTTTTGATTTTTTGATTTTCGGTTTCGAAGAGTTGGATGTTCTTAAATCAACAAAATGGAACAAGACTTATTCAAACTGATAGGAAACAACTCAGCAAGTTTAACATTAGAGACTTTGAAACATATTCAAAACAAATCAAAACCTTCACCATCAACATCAGCATCAACCGCTAAGTGGAATTTGATCGATATCGCGAACCCAGCACGTAAAGTCCAATTGAAAGTTAAACATTGGGTGAGGAGTGATAAACCTTCAGGTTAGTCAAGTTCAACAAACTCCTTTGATGAAGCTATATTCTGATGTTTCTGATTTTGTGTTTTTTGGAATGACAGTATCGCCATTTTCGAAATTCAATACAAGTTCTAATCTTTATACATACTCAACTGAAGAGTATTATCATTATCTGAGAGACGATGATTGGACAAAAGAAGAAACGGATTATCTATTCTCACTTTTGAAAGATTATGATTTAAGATTTCCAGTGATAAGTGATCGATATGATTTTTTAGGTAGTTCAAGATCAATCGACGATTTAAAATCAAGATATTATTCGATTTGTCAAAAGTTAATCTTAAATCGACCATCGAATTCTTCAGGCGAGCCATTAGATGAGATGAGTAAAAAACAATTAATTCAAAGTTATCATTTTGATAAAAATAGAGAAATTGAAAGAAAGAAACAAGTGAAAAGGCTAATGAATAGATCATTAAATCAAATTCAAGAAGAAAACTTTTTATATATCGAAACCAGAAGATTTGAACAATCAGTTGAAAAAAGAAATCAAGAAAGGCATGAACTAATGGAACTGATTGGAGGTTTGCCTTTTGAGATTTATAATCAATTGAAACAATGGCCGGAGGTAGATACCAATAATCAAGATGAATCTAATGCAAATGAAACTAACAAGTCTAATACTTTACAAGAGAACAATTCAACTAAGCATAAAACTAATAAATCTAATAAAACTCAAGACCAATCATTTGAAGACCTAAGTGTAGACCCAGTTGAACAATTGAATCCAACAGACGCAACACATATATCAAGAGACACATCAAACGATGCCAAGAATTGCATTTACCGATTTAATCATGCATTACCCTACCATCACCCTTCAGTAACTTTAAGATCATCCAGAATCCATCAACCGAAATCAGCAGCATATGCCACAAGAATCAATTCGATCTTGACTGAATTAGAAATTCCTATCAATATTTCTACTCCTAAACCGTTGATTATGGCTACAAGAGAAAATGTAGAAAGTTATACTTCTTTGCTGGGATCGGCTAATAAGTTGAGTGAACTTAAAAGACATGTGGATAAAGTGGAATCAGATTTAAGGAACTTGAGAAGACGAAAAGAATCATTGTTGGGACCTAACCAAAAAACTTTGGAAAGTCAAGAACTGGACTCTAAGCCGGTTTTAATTGATGATCAAACTCAAACTCAAACTGAAACCTTCGTTAATCTACCTGATCCAACACAATCACAGCCAACAGTAAGTCAGACTTTCATTTTGAAGTCAACTCGCGAAATCATTTATCATTATCCTCACATTCAAACCTTGATCATTTGTTCAAATAGAAAAAGCGATCAGTTTCAATTTCTTCTGATTCGTTAACAGGAGATGGACCAAGGAAAAAAGCACGTCAAGAATGATCCGATTTGCCTCCGATACGTTTGATATCGAATCATTACGTTTTCATTATTCTAAGGTTTGTGTTTTTGTTTCTCTCATGTACACTTTCATCGTGATTTTTCAAAAATTCGAAGATTCATTGATCACTTCAGCTGTTCCATTGTATCCTCCTATTATGATTAATTAGAGTCGACTTTGTAATATACTTATTGAGTTCTTTCGCGTTATCTTGGGTTGTCTTGTTCAGCTTGTATCAATAAAATCAAACGGTCTTTTCGTTTACTTTTTCCCTTGGATAGTCTTTGGTACAGAGACCTTTGTATGTACAAGAGTTGACGCTGTATAGCAAGTTTTGAAATTTTCACGAGTCGTGGTCGGCACCATGCGGTACAGGAAAGGTGGTCTGGGAGAAAGGCATGGTTGGATTTGCTTTGGGCAACCAAAAGTCTCTGCTTCTGCGTCGGGCGAGTCCTTTGAGTTCATATTTGGAACATAGGCTCTGTTGACTTGCAGTGGATTCATGCCGGGTTCAGGGATGAGGTGTAAGTGTCACATGAGGGGCAGAAAAGCAAGGCTTTGAAATTGGGACAGATTCACGCGACGTATCAAAAGGTGAAAGATTGTGCAGATTTTGTAGGAACTTACGCAAATGATCCAAGGTGCAAAGAATGAATGAATGGCTTGGAAACAGTCATTAGAAAACCGAGACAAGAAGAAAGAAAAGCAATCTAAAATGATCATAAGAGATATGGAGGGTATATCCTATGAAATGATGATGCAGCAGTTGCATAAACCTGAGTTAAAGAAAGAATAAGGCGAAGGGACAAAAATGAAGGAAAGTGTTTGAACCCGAGTCCATTGGAATGTTACAAATGGTCTATCGAGAGCCTGAAACAAAGACCTACGATAGAACCGGAGATTCGGTGTCGCAAGCCACCAAGGACGCCGAAGAGGACATTGTCAATGACAATAACACCGAAAAGACCACTGATGGTAGTGCTAAGAATAACCAAAAGATCAATGGACACGAGTTGGAAAATTTGGTAGTCGGTGAGTCAATTCCACAACCGTGCAGAAGGCCGAAAATGTCAACGCTAAGGGTGTGCGCAATACCAACGACGACTCGGATGACGGCACGAATGATTTCGAAATCGGCTACAGGAAGTAAGTGAATGTGAGCAACTGGTGAACTGATTAAGTTCAAGACCGATGGTAAACCTGACAAGAACCTTGACTGAGGTAAGATTGGTACCTTCCAACTAAGATTGAGTTAATGTCTTGAATTGCAATGAAGAAGCTTTGCATTACGCTTGTGAACTGTAGGTACGAAGGCAACTTATCAGGGTATGTTGGAAATATTTACCAAGTACGCACGCGAAGGAATAGACCACTCAACAATACTCCTCTAACTTGTTGGTCGGGCGCACTTGACTTGACTCCTCCATTCTCAATTCTCAATCGTCAAAATAGTCACATGTAGCATATCTGAAGACCAGACCACTTCTCGGTAGAAATAATTATCTATGGAAGGTACCCAGTTCCTACGCTTAACTGAGCGGACTTTCGAAGGGGCTTTGAGGGAGTGGAAGTAAACCTGCTGTGCGACGACCTGGAAGGTACAAGTCTCATGCAGAGCACGCAAACACCACCTGGGATTTGAAGTACTGAGGGTAAGAGGCTGGATGCCGCTACAGCAAGGTGAAGCGGCTCTGGGTTTGGAAAAGACGACTCTCAAATTCGGCACTGATAGCAAAGGTAGATAGTTGATAGCATGTATGAATCGTTACTTATTAACATAGAACAGTGTCATATTGGAGCAAGAACAAATCAAAAGAGGATGGAAATCAAGAAAACACGAAGCCCGAATCCGATGAATCGCGTTTGAAGATCACGAAGAAAGAATAACATTAAGAGGTCTCAAGGAAAAAAAGAGCGCCTGGTTCACGACTCTCTAGAATCGTTGATTAAGATTGAGTAGCACGGTGGGAGGAGCACTGATAAAACTGGGAATTTGTATACTAATGGACTGGAATAAACCGACATTCAAATTGATAGTATTGAACCAAGAGTTAAGATTGATACCGAAGCTTGCAGCGAGGCCGAAGATCACTCGGATGATATTGCGCAGAAGTTGGAATTCATCTACGAGAGAAATGGTGAGTGGAGGCTAATGACACATGCGTTGAATAATAATCTATTCGGCTTACATGTAAATTGGCGCCAAAGACTGCCATACTGGAATTGGATGATTTGTAAGGCGTATTGGATGTCGCGTAGCAGGTTGGTGGCCAGTGCTTGGAACTGCAAATGAAGGAACGTGGGTGAGCATCAAACATGAATTGACCGGAGTTGAATGACAATGGAGCTGATAATAAATTACAAACCTGTCCAGCGTATCGGTAATCACAAATACCGCAGCCTCCTTGGAACAAGGAGACGGTTTGGTACATTTGGTTGATCCACAAACTGAATTGTGACCTGACCAAGTTAATTGAAAAACCTGGAGTCTGCCATTGCGAAACAACATTTAAGAAGCTCTGTTGGGAGTATTGAAAGGTATGATAGAAGGTTCCGAAGTCTGAGAAGCCCGTCGGAACGACGTTGTTGGGAAGAAAGATAGGTCGGGCGGGCACGTTGGGGCCATTGATAATAGTTCCATCGGGACGTCGAGATGTACCAGAACCAACCGCAATACCTGGAATAGTTCCATCGGGACGTCGAGATGCACCAGAACCAACCGCAACACGGGGAATAGTTCCATCGGGACGTCCAGATGGATCAGAACCAACCGCAACACCTGGTCGATTCCTGGTTGAACCCGGAATCATCGGCCCGAGACCACCGTCAATGCTGGTGGGACTGTTGTTGAGCAAATCCTTTACGGTGGTGGTATGCACGTTAGGGTTCTCTTGACCCCAACCGCTGGTATCTGAAGGAAGCAATAGTGTGATTAGAGACGTGAAGTTTGGGACTAGATAGCGGAGGGCTACTGTGATATATTGACAAAGGATGGAGTTGGCATTTACCTATATGTTGTCCTGGAGTAGCAATCATCGTACGAGCATCCAAACTTTGGAAAAAGTCAAGCTGACTATCAGCACATGCAAGGCGATGGAACGATGGGAAACGATCGCTTACTGTGCCAAGCTCGGGGCAGCACGTCCGGTAGCTGGAGTGAAAAAACGTGACGAAAAGAAACATGAGCACGGAAGACTTTAAGAACTGTGATCACAAAAGTAAATATTCACCGGCAAACGTAGCCAAAAGAAAAGCGACAGAGATATGCATGATAAAGACTGGTTCGATTGAGTTGAGGTAAAATAAAAAAGAATCAACGAGTCAAAGTATTATTGGTTAATTTATCAAGTACGAGAAAACGTAAACGAGGAGCGGGATGAGTGTGACCCATTCCAACTGCTCAGTTGCTTTATACACGCGTTCCTCCAACTTTTGCTTTCGCAAGGACAGCTCGAGAAACTTTCCACGGGAGATCTATTCGTTTGTGGCGGTGAAGGGCGGTGAACATTGGCAATTATGGAACGCCGGCCTCGACCTGCTCCTGAGTCTTGACAGCTCGTGTTGGCATCCATGTCGGAGCTTGTCGCAGAGTTTCTTTATTCAGCGTCACGATAGGTCACGATTCAAACTGAAATCCTGATGGCCATGAGAACATGAAAACACCAGGCTGCACTGCAATATGACAAACACGTAAGGTGTATTTTGGGTACGTAAGTATGTAAGTGACACATCCCTCGCTTCAAATCCCAAAAAGCAAAACCGAGCAGAGGAATTCAATCATGGCCGATGAATTGAGGAAGAAATCGAAGTGATCGCTTCCTTGGCACTGTCAAATATACAACGTAATTTGGGAAACCAGAGTGCAGCAAATTTTAAACTCAACTAAGTCCCTCGCTGACTCTCGCACGCTTCGAGCGCAGCGAGGTCAGCGAGGGATAAGGCCTGGACCCGGCCCGGCCCGCGCTCAAAATGGAGCGCCGAGCCGGGCTCCTTTAGAAAAGCTGCCGGCCCGGCCCGGCCCGGGCAAAAAAAAATTTTCTTCGCTGTGTGGCTCAGCAGCAAGGGAATCATCAGTTCCATCTTGTTCAACAGCTTACGATGGCTCCAAAACGCCCACGTGCCTCTAACGGTAGCGCTATCACCATACCAGACTCCCCTCCACAATCCAAAAGCAAAAACCAGGCAAATTCCCCGACATCTGCTCCTTTAAACAACAAAACTGAAGTTGACAACTCACACAAGACCTCATGGGTCTGGCGACACTTCAAGACTGCATTTCATGACCCGACTAAATCAATGAAGAACATTTGTCAAGCTCCGCATCCAAATGGAGGCAATCAAATCTGTGGAATGCACCTGGTTATTGATCCCTCTGCAAGTACCAGGTCAATGATCCGCCACCTGCAACGCCGTCATAAGATATACGAAGAAACTGTTTCTGAAAGTGGTTCCATGAAGAACTACTTGTCCAACGGAACACTCAAGAAGGTGAGATATCATTTCACAGCAGTAACTCTTTTTTTTGTACTGATTGTCTTCTTTCTAGGTTCCCAAGCTTACCCGCGAAAACATGAAGCAGCAACTCCTCCGTCTAACTATCATGAAGGAGCTCCCATTTGCATTTGTTGACTCTCCGGAACTCCAAACCCTGCTTGAGATGTGTAATCCTGATATCACACCACTCCTGATTGGCTCCAGCGCTCTCGGTGATGCAGTTCAAAAGAAATTTGTTGAAATGAAAGCTGTAATGAAGAAAGTCTTTGAAGATCAACTGGCAGTCAGTATCACATGCGACGCTTGGACCTCACCAAACCGCAAATCTATCCTTGGTGTCACAGCCCACTGGATCAACGAAAATTTCCAAATTCAGGAAGTAATACTATGCCTCAAAGAGATCGATGGCGACCATACTGGTACCAACCTCGCAGAACATCTCATCCCAGTTCTTGAAGAGTACAACCTGCTTAATAAAGTTTACTGTGTTGTTGCTGATAATGCGAGCTCAAATGGTACCATGGCTGATGCTCTTGAACAAGTCTGCCCAAACTTCAATCGGGACGAAAATCTTCTTGGATGTGTCGCACATGTTATCAACCTTATTGCTCAAGACGGACTCAAGGCATTTTCTAGAAAGCTTGGCGAAGAAGGACCTGTTCCGCGTGACCTTGCTATTCTTCTTGAACCAATGCAGCCATCCGACATCCACTCCGTGCTTACTCGGCTTTTAAAACTGATCGCATGGATTTACAAATCACCTCAACGTGTACAATCGTTCCTCAAGCAAGTCGAGGCAGACTTAGGCTACTCACTCAACCTCATCCGCAACGTTGACACACAATGGAACTCGGATCTAGAATGTTATCGTCGAGCGTTCAAATTACGTGGATCTATCGACACGAAGTGCCGAAATGATCCAGATTACAAGCAATACACCTTGTCCAATGACGAGTGGAAGCTGATTGGGCATCTTATTGAATTCCTTGAACCTTTCGAGCGGGCCACAAAGGATCTTTCAGCAAGTAAATACCCCAGCCTGGGAGACATGATACCAGTATACAAATGGATCATCAAAAAATTGAACTCGGTAGGTTCTTTTTTCAATTGATCAACTTTGAGTCAATGCTCATCTGATCCATTTTATTCCCGCTTCCATAGAGCTGGTGTAACTACGATGCTCAAGAGCTTCGCCAAGCTATCCAACCAATGAAAACCAAAGCCGAGTCATACTATGACAAGGTACTTAAAAAACCTGTATATCTTTGCGCCTTACTTCTCGATCCGCGTAGCAAGGATCAGGAGTTAGCTGATACAACTTTAGAACGAGCGGGAATCTATCATCGCGAAGGTTGGAAGACTCTCTTTCTGAACCAGTGTGAAACCTTTCATAAAGACAGTCCTCAGATTGACAAAGAACCGCAAGCAGAAGTCGAAGATGGCCCCCGATCGTTTGTCGCTAAAAAGAAAGCACAAGGTATCGAAGCCGAGCTTCAAACTTACCTTTCAGCTGAGCGAGAAGATGGGAGTCGTGACCCACTTTTCTTTTGGCGCAAAGAAAGTCTTCGCTTCCCCATCCTTGGGAAGATGGCTCGAATCTTCCTAGCCATCCCAGCCACCAGCACCCCTTCCGAGCGTAGCTTCTCTGCGGCTGGTAGGACCATCACCGACCTCCGCAGCTCGATGCATACACCCACTCTTGAAGCATCAGTATGTCTCAAGAGTATCGAAAAATTTCTTCAATTTTAGCTGTTATACCTTATCAATCAGAGATCTACAGTATTTAAAAACCAATCACACCTATTGATACAAAGAAATACACGTATATCATTCTATGCTGTCCAATGCTGAGCCCCAAACCCACCTCCTATCACTTCTGTCCCGCCCGGGAGCACAGCGCTTCGGGCTATTTGAACTTTTTTTGAGAGCCGAAACAGCCTGAGCCCGGCCCGAGCCCAGAGCCGGCCCGCTGGCCCCGGTGCCGGGTCCAGGCCTTAGCGAGGGACTTAGTTGAGTTTAAGCAAATTTGCTGGAAGTTGGAACTCGTTTTGACAAACGGGAATGGTAGCAGAGGACCCTGGCTTACTCCTATGGAGGCGTCTGATCTAAAATCCGACGATTGCGTGGTGAGTTATCAAAAAATATCCAAAATCCGACCTTTTTGATCGGATGCCTAAGTGAAAACCCGGGAAAATTCTCAAAAGACCTTGAAAATCCGACCTTTTTGGTCAGAAGCCTCAAATCCCTGAAAAAGACGGGGCCGGGGCCGGTATCGGTCACTGCCCAAACAAAAGGACCGGGCTCAGTTGCTGGCCGTGAACTGAAAAGCTCGCAGTCAAGCCCAGTAGCTTTTGAATTGCAAATCTTTTCATCAAAAGTAACACTAGACTATGATCAATTGGGTCGCTTCAATCATTTGAAATCAGTCATTGAAGACAGGAGGTAAACAGATTTGTTTCCAAAAGAATCAGAGTACATGCATCAGGAGAACATCAACTATCAAGATGCTCATTCATCTTCTGCAGCTTGCGCATTAGCCTGCAGACGAATCCGTTCTTGTTCATATCGGTTGACCAAGTCTTTCATCCTGACATCTCGAAACATTTGTTGAATCACTGACGGTACAGAATAACACCCCTCACCCACTAAAGCAAAGTTTGAACCATCAGATGGCTTGAAAACATAGATGATGTCCACTATGTCAAGGAGACAGAAGGTCCAGCTGTCTGGAGCGGAGTCCGTAGCTGCAGTTGCAACGGGGTAGGTGTAGTTCAACACTTGCACACCCACGTGCGATAATTTGCGCCTTGAGGATGCGCTGGTGACAAACGCATGTTTTTTTGAAATATACTCGTACACAACCACAGCGCGGCATATGTGCAGTTTCTTCAGCAGGGTGTTTTGTCAGCAACTGTATTGAACATATATGCAGCATAAGAGAATCGTGCAACTCACTTGGTTTTTGATTGCTAAGAGAAATTTCCCGGGCTCAATAGGGTTCTCCGTACTGATGATACCACCGTCAAAGAGTTGCTGCAAGTCAACACTCCGGTGGATTGAATTGTTGGTAGTTAAACCAGTCAGATTAAGCTTCACGTTGATGTTCCAACGGTGTCGACGTGCAGCACCGGTAGGCGTGCTGACTAAATCCTTCATATAGACCGCAATCGCCTTTGAACAGGCACTTGGATTCAATTCGCCGCTGGAAGTTGTATCACCTTCCAATCTCAAGTCATCTGGATTGATTAATATACGCTCGTTTCCTTTATGTCGAGGAAGCTGACTATCATGCTGGGTGCGGATGTCAATAAGATTTTTGCCAAGGAGTTTTCCTCCCTCTACTAATCTCCAGCGAGTTGGATCGGACCAGCTGGTAGCTGAGCTGTTTTCATGATAAGGTTGTTCTGAATTTTTTGTGTCAGTTTGCATAAGCAGGCAAGCATATATTGAAAAAAACACTTACCATTGCTGTTGAGCAAGTTGGCAATCAGCATTGCTGCATTTTGAACGGTAACAGCTTCCACCTCATCTGGAACTTGATCAAGTAATAAGTCAAGTGAATTTTGTTCCTTTGCCAAGGTAGCAGCTTCAGCAAAAGCAATGTTTTCGGGGAATTCTCCAGGCTGGTAGTTATATCTGACCCGATAATCTTTTGTTGCGCATGTTGACACATCTGATGAATGGTAACAGTCAGTAAAAATACTTCAGCAGATATAAAAGAAACAGACATACCTGGAGTGGTATCATCAACGTCTGGTGGAAGGTCATCTATGATGTTTTGGGAAGGCAATTCCTCGTCTTCAGGCTCTAATGGTCCCATTCCAGCCAGGTGAGCAAGGCTATTTGCAAGCCGATTGGCAATGGTGAGCTCTTCACCAATCTCAGCATTTGTTGGAAACGCTTTGAGAAGTTCAATCACTCCAACAGCCTCCTCATCACCCCAAGCGTATTGATAGCCTGAGTGCATGTGTTCAGAAGGTGGTATCTTGATTTTTCCACCCATCACACTCTTGACAACAGCGTGTATTTTTGGCATCATGAACCGGGCATCAAGGACAGTGAAACGAGGAGCGATAACTCTCATCCATCCAAATATGTGTTCGACTGGCTCCGTTCCGTGCTTCCAAGGGCATAGAGGGTATTCCGGGTAGTACTGTCGATGTGAGATGATCAAGGCAAGGAGGGATTCGGGGAGTGATGAAAAGATCTTGAAGCTAGCGTGTGAAATGCAATTGAGATGAAATTTCATGAGACCATTTGTTTCGATCTCGCGTTTTTGCAAGTAAGATTTCCATCTTTGTAGAAAAAAGCCTGCCGTCCATGCAGATCGAATCCTTTCGCGGTGGCCAATCTTTTTGTTCAACCAAGAGTCAATCAACTCTCCAATAACATACAGGAAGATTGTTAAGCCTTCACTTCCTGGTAGTCGAAGCGAGGCAGCCAGTGTTAGGGAATTTGTTGTTCGAAATGCTCGACCATCTTCCTGTTTATCACTATCAAATACGTCTTTGGCCATAAGAGGGCTATTGGGCATCTGAAGTATTTCGGCTAATTGTTGGATGGTTACAACATACTTGCCAATCACAATCAAACGGGCACCAGATAGTAGCTGATTAGCGCCAGTCTTTCTTGCATGTTTTGGGTCCTGGACCGTTACTACAGGACGAGGAGGATTCCCAAAGAGTGGGACTTTCACATGAACATTCAAATTTGATTTCGAATAAGTCAGGTATTGATCAGTATTGTTATGGAGTTTTTCTTGTGCTGAGATTTTGGTAGCGGCTCCATCTGCGCCCATTGACATGATGTTGATTCCAGCCTGGAGAGAATGTGTGATGATGGTGTGGTGCGCTTCAGCAATGTCATCAGCCGATTCGTTTGAACAACTAGCAATTAAAGCTACCACATATGTAGGTATGTTTGGCAAAGGGACTTGTATTGTATAAGCCCGTATCTTCACAAGGAAAGGAATCATGTCAGATGCATAATTGGGATGTCAGAGAAGAAATCTTCTGTGTGACTTACTTTAGAGCACAGCTTATCCTCCTTAACTATCTCCTTGACCAAATCACGCAGCTCATCTGCATTGCTAAATTTTACATCGCCACCTTCAGCTCCCACTAGACAGCCATTATGGTGTCTTAAAGCCTTCACACAGACGGTTTGATCGGAAGCTGCAGCTATTGGACCATCATAGCCAAGTTCCTTAAGGGTTTTGGCAATGCGTTCAAAGTTTGCAGGATGGATTTCAGCCTCCATCTTGCCATTCTTAGCCTGAATAGCGCGTTGACTACGAATTCCACGACCAGCAAATGTACTATTAAAAAGTTTTAGAGCACTTCGACTCATAGCACCAAGAGTTGTAAGAGTATCATCTAGGTAGGCATCAATTCGCAGCCCTTGAAGTGACTTTCCGGCTGCCTCTCGCTTGGCTCGCAGTGATACCTGTTTGATCAGACCTTGTACAACCTCACGATCTTGAAAAAGTCCTCTCCTAGCATGGGCGGCAACGCGAGTTAAGAAATCACCAAAATCTCCATTTCGCGAACTTTCGAGTGACTTATCAAACAGCTGTAATTCTTCACATTTTCTTAGAGTGGCGTGGAAAGGATTGGTAGCCAAGATGTGATGGTTGATGTATTTGAGGTTGTCATCGTCGGCATATTTGTGGTTGAGTGCACTATTTAAAGCAGAGTTTCCTTTGATTGCTTCACATTCAGCACACGGAACATCGTTCGTATTCTTCTTGCGCAATATAGTCCTAAGGCACGTTTTTGAGTAAACCCCGCTACGTTCACCATGACGCTTCACTTCCCAAATTGCTCGACTATCAATAGTGGATATCAGTTGTGCCTTTTGAGTCTTGGTAAGTGAGGACTCAGTTGCTTCATCACCAAACAACTCTTTACGAATAGAATGTCGATCATTGCCTCGATAGATAGTACAAGTATGTGCAAGGAAGTATGAAATTGAATGTTGAGCTTTTGGTCGTTTCCAAGTGGCATCGGTCAGGCCGGGACATGGTACTTCCTCGTAACCGCGTTTTTTCTTTGAATCCACAGGTGTTTTGGCATAAATGATGTGAGAGCAGCACTAGACTTAATATCACGTGTCTTGTTTTGGCATCGTTCTGTTGAGGAAGATTGAACAACTTTGGTGAGTGCTCTGATAACTGATACCCAATTTTATGAACTACTTACTTGATTTCCAGTGTTCTTCAGCAGTCTCAACTCGACCATGGCGCAGGACAAGTCGCTTATTGCTACAGTGGCACCAAAAGTCTTTATCACCCAGTACTCCGTGCTCTACTCGACATCTGGTGCAAGGCTTGTTGTCTTTTGATAAAGGACAGAGTCGAAGGACATCAAGGAGCTTAGATACCTTGGTGGAGGTCTCAGGCTTGCTAGTATTATTTATTGAGAATTTGCTAGAAGATCTGCCAGGCTGATAGTTTTCATTGTTGTCGGATTCGGAAGAGATGACTAAAACTTCAGATGGTGCTGCTGTTTGTTGACGTTTTGCAGCTGGCTTGTTGATATTGCTTATTATGGTGGAATCCACATCAGACGAAGGTTGAGAGACACCTCGTCTCTTTTTTCCTTTTGAATTATTCTTAGTAGCATTTGAGCCTAGTCAACTTGATATTGGTCAGATTACCGGGCATATATGGGATGGTATGCATTATCGCGGGTTATACAAATGGGCCCAAACCTCCATAATGCATAATTCTATGTATTTAGCACGTCAAGTATAAAGATCAGTTATTTTAATCGAAATCATAGACAATGAATCAAATATGACTCACTGATCAGGTAGGTGCGTATTCTTTTCAGTTTCAATTTCAACAGTTGATCAGAACTTTTATCCCATGTCTCGTGCTCTCGTGCTTTGTCCGTCCATTTCATGACAAGCTCAACTCCGTAGGGTCCAGTGAAAACATGTTTGTTTACCACATCAGCACCAAAAACAGCATCCATCGTTTTATTTACCGACCAATACATCCCTTCATCGATGTCGTTAGGATCCAGTTTGGGTGCATTGATAAAGCTACGATATATTACATCGTCTGTTGTAGCTGGTCGGATTTGTTCGCAGGTTTTTGATAGATGCAAGATCTCCGACTTCATTTGCTCATATGAAGGCATGATGAGTTTGTGTCAAGTATTGGTTTGTTGGTTTTGTTGTTTTGCTGAGGTTTTGAATCTTTCAAGAGTTCTGTTTGTAAAAAATTGGTTGCAATTGGATTGGCTATAAAGAGTTATCAATCCTTGGCATCTGTGGCTTTGTTACGTTTGCTAGCATTTAGTAGCATTTCTTATGATTTCAAATTCCACAGTTCAGCCTGTCAGTAGTTGTCAGTTGCATTGAACCTTGAACACTATTAAAAGCTATTGAATCAGGATTGCTGAGCATTGTTGAGTCAAAAATTTGACAGTTGAGTGAGTAAAAGAAACTAGCAGGTTAGGTAGAGCCCAAAAAAACACAGAGACTGGCTAGAATCGAACCCCCAACATCAACGCCACAGCCAGGCCACAGGGTATGACATCGCTGTCTCTGCCTGCTACACCATGCACCCATGTAAAGTATTCCGACCTTTTACATTAGAACCATCAAATCTTCCACAAAAAAACACAGAGACTGGCTAGAATCGAACCCCCAACATCAACGCCTGAAAATCCGACCATTTTGGTCAGATGCATCCGCGGCGAGGAAGGCCAAAATGTAAAGTATTCCGACCTTTTACATTAGAACCATCAAATCTTCCACCCTGTTTTCCGACGTTGTGGGTCAGAAGCATATTGGCCAAAAACTGAAAATCCGACCATTTTGGTCAGATGCATCCGCGGCGAGGAAGGCCAAAATCCGACCATTTTGGTCAGACGCCTCCATAGGAGTTAGCCAGGGTCCTGGTAGCAGGCGAAGAAGAGATTTAGTTACAGATGCGAAATGACATCAGAATGAAGCTGGGAAGACCTACATTAAGCTATCCAATAAGAAAGGATTAGAAATCCAATCTCAAAGACGAGTAGACGGTTGTGAAGTATTGGAGAGCGCAGTGGTTTCCAGTTTTTTCCCTCAATTGATTTTGTTATCTTTTTTACATTCATCCAAGTTCATTATCAACAAAATTTAAAGTGAGTATAATACTGTTACATAAAAATTGTTGTTGTATATCGATCTTTCAAAAAGTACAAAATTTTTAAAATTCTTCAAAAGTTCTTCGTTTTTCTTAAACTTAAGTTATCATGCAACATGTTGCGAAGGTTATTAACAACCAGACTGATAAGTTTGACGCCATCGATGACCTTCTCATTAAATATCATAAGTCGGGAGGGAGCAACAAATATGATATGTGTTGGCTCCGCGACCAAGTCGCTTCATTTTTCTCACCTTCCGACCCGAATTTCATCTACCACTTCTCAGCCGTGGCAAGGAACGCCATCCAGTTCGATTTGGGAGCCAAGCGCCCAGTTTACGCCATCTCGGGTAAGGAGGCCATCATACCACCTCCCGGCGAAACGCTATCCTGCGATCCTGTCGTTCTTGACCCATCCTGGTGGCCTAGAGACTTGGAGAGCGAGCTCTACTCAGCTCCGAAAAGTTTCGTTTTCCACCCTCCGGCCTCGAAAGAAGATAACCTCGCAATTGCTTCAGGTTCAGGTTCGAATCCTATCATTAATACTGGAGAAGCTTTCGACCGCAAGCCTTCGGTTTTCCTTGAACCCCCCCTTTTGGAACAAATCCTTCCAAGAGGTACTATTGGACCTGAAGACTGTTCTCTTAAGTCTTTATCGTCACATTCCGTCTCTTCTAGACGATCTCGACATCGAAGTCCTCGGCGTAGGCATTCTCGGGGCAAAGCTTCAGCCGCGCCTCCGAACCTTTCACATCGTGAAAGAAGACCTCCCTTGGGCCCTTCTAAGGACCAAGGTCGAGAAGATAAATTTCATCAAGAGTCTATTCTCGAGAGGGTTCATTCTCAACCTCAATCACGCCCCACTCTTACTTATCGAGAGAACAAGGGTAAAGGCCGAGAAAGACCTCTTTCCCCTCCTGTACTTCACGAAAGAACTTCTCATTGTAGAAGGAGCAATACCCCTCCGTCTCCTCCAGAGAGCCAAAAACGTCGACAGGATCCTTCATCATCCCCTTCTAGTCGAAGCAGTTCATCTCGTTCCTCTTATGATAGTCGCGATCAGGCCTCTGATCACAGTCGAGCAAGATCCGCTTCACCAGTCGCCAGAGAATCCGCTCTGGCGCTTCTCTTGGTTCCTATTGAGAAACTTAAGAACCGAAAGGCCAGCGCTATGTCACTCATTATTCAGAGCATGGTTAGGGAGTATTCTCAACACTCCAAAAAAGCCTTGTCTCTATATAACACCGGACCAAACAAACCACCTGGTTTCCCGTCATCTATGTCAAAAGATTTGCTGGAATACAAGTATATCGAGATTGAGAAGCTGTTTGGCGAAATGTCTTCTAAGCCCTCTTCAGAAACTTTCATTTTCAGCAAAAAATCCAAAGGCTTGGACATCCGCGGTGTGGTCGATCCAAGAGAAATCGAAAACATGTCGGATTTCCTTCAAATTCTGGATATTCTCAGAGACGCTTATCACGCAGCTTTCTCTCCAGCATCCGACTCAATCGACGACTACTTTGATTATATTAAAAGTCTTTGTAATTGGCAGGAAGAGTGTGATTGGAGGAATGTTATGGAGTTCGACAGTGTCCTTCGTCGAAAATTCTCAGAATACACCTGGATCACATTTGGCGACTATAAAGCTCCTGAACTCAGACGTCTGGAAGCTCGCAGCCTTAACAAACCAGCCACACTTCCAGATTATGTTCCTCAAGCCTCTTCTTCAAAGAAGCCAAAGCATCCTGCGTCATCTCAAGTCCGGCCGTCGAAAGAGCAACCGAAGTCGAAGACCAAGACGAAAAAAACCAAGAGGACGTCATTCGACTATCCTCTCAAGGATTGTGCGGGCGAACCTTTATCTGGCCAGCCTTGCAATTTATGGAATGCTAATGTATGTCCTTATTCCGACGACGACTGCAACCGAGCGCATCACGTATGCAACAAGCTGGGATGCGAACTTGATCATCGAGGAGGCATCGTCCACAGACGTGCTTAATGCCAGAAAGTTTCTACGCAATCTGGAGATTGACGCCTTATCAGAAGGTTTCTCTGCTTCAGTTCACTTTTCTCTCACGGCAGATCCCTTACCTTCTGCTCCCCCTCTGGAGTCAGACATTTTTGCAGCGCGTGCTATCAAAAGAAGACCTGACATTTTCCAGATTCACACACCTATCAACATCAGACGACTCAAACTCCTCCTCAAAAATGCTCCAAATCAACCTTTTGTAGATTCCGTTATTTTAGGTCTAACAGAAGGATTCTGGCCAGTAGCCGACAAACCATCAGACTCGACGGCTCAATACCCAAACCACGTCTCAGGACCCGAGGACCTAGCAGTTTTAATCAAAACTTGGGACTTGGAGATGTCCTTAAAGCGTTATTCACCACCTTTCAAAATTCTTTTACCAGGCATGAAGGTCTCACCTTTATGTTTAGCCACAAATCTAACTTCAGGCAAAGTACGTATGTGCACAAATATGAGCTATGGTAAACCATCTCCCAACAGCCTTATTCAAAGGGATAAAATCAAGCTCAAGCTCGACACTATATCCTCTTTTATACCTTTCCTACTCTGGCGTCACCACTTTAATAAGAAATCTCTTATATGGAAGTCAGATGTAGATTCTGCATTTAGAATTTTACCAGTGTCACGACAGTGGCAATACAGACAGGTTGTTTCCATCGACAATGCATATCATGTGGATCGCTGTGTGAATTTCGGAAGCGCAAGTTCCCCACACCTCTGGTGCTGTTTCTTCTCCTTGATCCTCTGGATAGCGTTCTACGAATTTGAAATCACTGAATTAAATGCATATATGGACAACTCGTGGGGAGTAGGCGCCCCCACAGACATAGTCACCTTCAAAGGTCATAAAATACCTCTCAATCAAGCTAAATTCCTTGAATTATTCGACTTTTTGAACATTCCTTGGAACTGGAAAAAACAAGTCTTCGGTGCACAATTAGATGTGATCGGTTTCAAAATCGACTGCGAAGTAATTTCAATCGCTCTACCCGACGAAAAACGATTAGCCCTGGTCCAAGCCCTTCGAGCTTTCCTTCTTCCCAGATCCCAACCGCTTGTTGCATGGCAACGAATCACGGGTTGGGCGAATTGGGCCATTAACACCTTCCCATTAGGAAGGTGGGCAATTCAGTCTTCTTGGGACAAGATTGCCGGAAAGACCCTAAGAAACGCTCAGGTCCCAAGAAACAAAATGGTTTTCGAGGACCTTTCTTGGTTGGCTGACGCTCTAGAGCAATGGACAGGACGAATTATTCTCAACACCCTCTTTTGGAACCTCGAATTGGCAGACTTGACCTTTTTTGTGGACGCATGTACCACAGGAATTGGAGTTTGGTGCCCAAAAATCAACAAAACCTGGAGTCAAGTTATTCCTCCCCCCGCTCGAGCAATTTACTGGGCCGAACTGTGGGCTGTAATTTCAGCAATCAAACTGGCTTCTGAAAGGAAAGCTCACCGAGTGCTAATTTTTTCCGACAACGAGTCTGTGGTAGGATTTTTTAGCTCTCACAAGCCTATCGACTCAGTGCGAGTATTATTCAGGCACGCCGTAACGATCATGCTTAACGATAACATGGATGTTAAAGTGAGACATATTGCAGGTGATCGAAACAGAATTGCTGATGCGTTGTCAAGAAGACTAGGAGACTGTCAAGAACTGAATTTACTCCGCATAACAAATGAAATCCTCCCTCAAATTGATCCAGCTCTAGACGGAGGTATCAAGTACACATCGCAATACTTCAACAATCTCAAATTCAATGCCGAAAGTAGCCAAGAACAAGGCGACGCCTCTATCGTTTTATGACAGAGAAGATATCAACAAAGCAGATCTAGAGAAACGCCTTGGACCATCGTCTGTCGCAAAATACGAATCAGGAGCTCGTCGGTTCGTAAAATTTTGCGCTGATCAAAATATTCCTCTCTGGCCAGACGAGACTGCACTGGCACACTTTGTTTCTCTTCTATCCCGTGATCTGCAACCATCTACCATCAACAAGTACCTAACTGGTAAGGTCCACTGTCTACAAGAAAAATTCCCTTTTATCGTCGAAGCACGTCTCTCGAAGAGAGATCGAAACTCAGTTCAGAGTTGTCAAAAATTGTTCTCAGACCCGATTAAGCGAGCCTCTCCTATGTCATTAGCGGACGTCCAGTTATGCGGAAAAACCTTCAACTCAACATTTGATGACATGTTATTCAACACAATTGTCGGTCTCGGTTTTTCAGCATTGCACCGACTAGGTGAACTCACTAATCCAGACGCTGTGAAGCTTCGAAACCCACGGAAATCAATCAAACGATCTTCGTTGCTCATTTCCAATTGCGGAACGATAGCAACCTACATTTTACCATACTACAAAGGCGACCCGAAATTCTTGGGAAGCGAGGTAGCTATCGTGAACCGTTACAACGATCCCTACTGTCCTGTATTGACCCTTCTGGCGTACACTATCAACCGAGACAAACGCTTTCCAGCTACATCTGGATGGCTCGTCCGGGCCAATGGAACCGTCCCCACAAGATCTTGGTTTATCAGTAGACTAGACTCAATATTTGACGGAGCGCGTTCAGGCCATTCCCTAAGATCAGGCGGAGCAACAGCCCTAGCGCAGGCGGGACTACCATTCGAAACCATCCAATCAATTGGTCGATGGTCAGGAGAGGCATTCAAGCTGTACGTCAGAGGTCACCCTGTCATGAATACATTCGCGGCAAGGAAGCATATGCTATCTTCAGGCGCGACTTTGGGAGAGCAAATCTCTTTTCCTGGCTCCTCTTGTGAGTCCAGTTCAATCTATTAGATTATTCGTCTCGTACAGCCCTGACTGAAAGTTTGCTCATACAGCCAAACACGCTTGCCGTGGGTTGATGCAATGACAACTTTTTTGTTTCAAGCTCAATGCGAAACAAGCGTAGGTAAGTGGTTCTAACCGCTATTCACCGATCAAAATACGCTGACTCTTGTGAAAATCTATCAGCACGACGTGCAAAGAATTTCTACAATTCAAAGATTTCCCTCGAATGTCTTTCGGGAAAAATGCTTTGTCCAGCTAGTAAGTAGACCATTCACTTCGTGAATGTTACTAGTCTGACATCGAGTAATTCTGATTTATTCAGTTACCGATAAGAACCCAGGAAAATTAACCTCAAACATCCAACCTGTCCCTAGCTTCGCACACATCAAATAGTCTTTTAACATACCATCATACGGTCTAATTTTAATAGCGGGTGGTCAGGGTCGGAGGTTTTAGGAGTCATAGTCATTTTTTCTTTTTCCATCAGTCAGAAATGAAAAAATAAAAATCAGGTCTCAGGACCGTGAGGCGTTTAATTCATTCAATACATTTCATCTCAACGAAAAATCCACTTGAGCCAAAAAACATTCCTCAAATGTTTCTCGGCAGCTTTCGTATCATTCATCGATGCCACTCTTTTGAAACATACCTGGAAACACTTGAACAAAGCTTGTGTCTTTTTCCTTTGAGATCAGAGATTCCCTCCTTGGTGTGGTCAACATGGGTATAAGGCAAATCCACTGTGATTGTGTTTTACCCTTCCTAGAACTTGAAGGTGAGTGTGGTGTGGTGTGGTTGAAATCAGAAAATAAGGAACATGTGCCGATGCGCAGCGATGCGCCCGTGCCAGGAGTTTTGTGCTATCGGCCCGCCGAGTGCCACCGGTCGCGCCCTCCAGACCCGCGCACCCAAGGTGACTCCAAGCCTCATGATGCACGTTTTCTGATGACCAACACCAATTCTTCACCAGACCACCAGCCAACAACGAATGATACATAGCTAAGTGCAAGTTTGACCAACAAACCTATCGACTGATCGAACGTGGATAAAGAATTGCTCCCGTGACAACGGGGTGAAGACCAGCATGTCTCGTCTCAACTACTGTGCCAGTCTCGGCCAAAGATTACGTGCTCCGGCGTGTGCTCAGAGATGGTATTCAGCAACGGCGTTCTTGTCCGACAGGACATTAGCGGGCTTACCGATGGACATCAGCGACGAAGTTCAATATGGACTGAATCGGCAACTACCAATGTTAGCGCTAGAGAGCGCGATCATCACCCACAGTTTACCTTATCCCACCTCTCTGAGCCTTCCGAAGGAATTGGATGAGATAGCTAGGGCATCTGGGACTATCCCAGCTCATATAGCAATCGTGAAGGGGCGAGTCAAAGTCGGTCTTACAGATTCCGATCTAGCCATTCTCGCCGATCCCGAACAGGATCCGAAGCAGAGGTGGAAAGTGGGCCGCCGAGAATTGGCGGGAGCAATTTCTCAAGTGATTCCCTCGACCGCTCTGTTATCCTTTCCAATGCAACGTCCCAGCGTCTGAATGGTAAATCATATGTTTTGTGTTACTGAAAAAATCGGTAGGGAGTCAATGGCGGTTTAACTGTTTCCGCTACGATGAAGATCGCACAAATGGCTGGTATTAAGATCTTTGCTACGGGTGGTATTGGTGGTGTTCACCGAGGTGCTCAAAGTAGTGAGTTTGTCATAGATGACTTTTCCTCGGGTTTGGCTTTTTTCATACACTTTGTGAATTGATATACCCTTTCATTGGTTCTATCAGCGATGGACATCAGTTCAGACCTCACAGAACTTGCTAGGACCCCAGTGGCAGTAGTTTGCGCTGGTGCAAAATCTATTCTTGACATCGGCTTAACTTTGGAATACCTTGTATGTTTTTTCTTCGGGATATATGCAAATCTAAATAGCTGAGTTGGCTGATGCCCGGTGTTATGTTGTGAATCATGTCAGGAAACCTTGGGTGTCCCAGTTGTGACGGTTGGCAGATCCACCGAGTTTCCTGCCTTCTATACCGCCCACTCAGGTTATCACGTAGGTAAAAATGTCCTTACTAAACAGCCAAGTGGCATTTAATTAACGTTCGATATGTGACATACTCAAAAATCCTTCAAGGCCTCCATGAATTGCGACTCGGTTCGAGCTTGTGCCGATATGATACGTGAGTATAAAGCACAATTATCTCATCACCCTTGATTACTTCCTTCATGCTGTGCGACTTATTGTGACTTGACGCAAATGACGTCGGATGTGATCTGACCGACTTTTTTTTCCTTTGAAAAAGGTACATCCGAGCTTTTGAAGGTGGAGAGTGGAATCGTATTTGGTGTGCCTATTCCCAAGGAACACTCTAAAGATGGCGATATAATCCAAGATGCCATTCAACAAGCAGTACGAGAATCAGAAGATCTCAAGATCAATCAGAAAGGCAAAGAGGTCACTCCTTGGTTACTTCAGAGGGTAAACCAATTGACAGCAGGTCGAAGTGTTGTAGCCAGTGAGTAGATTTTAGACTCGACCTATGTTCCAAATCGTTGACAAATGTTTTCCCAAAGATCTGGCTCTTATTCGCAATAACGTGGCCGTAGCTGCTCAGATAGCTAAAGAGTACCAAAGCCTCAAATCTCACAGCCAGGAGAAAACCGCAGGCTCTTGTTCGGTGTGTTCTTGAATGTCGAGAGGGTCGAGTTTATTTCCCAGAGCACAAGTTATAATCTGCTAACTAAAAATCAGGGTATCTCGGTACCTCCTGCTCCACATCAAGTTTCGAACAGCTGGACGAGCGCACCCAGGGCTCAACTTATGATCATCGGAGCAGCAGCAGTTGATATCACCTCGATACCACTACAAAGCCTTCAGTCTAAGGTTACCCCCTTATTGGGTACCACCGAGCCTGGGGTCATTAAATTGAGTGCGGGCGGCGTGGCTTTCAACCTTGCTCGTACCGCATACAATTTGGGAGTCGATGATGTTGTAATGATGACAGTGATTGGAGGAAAGAACGCTCCATTGACACAAATGCTCAAGAACGAAGTCGCCAAGACTGGTTTGAGAACTGATGGTCTATATGAGCTTGCCGACCAGTCCAAGCGGACAGCTGTTGTAAATATGCTTCTGGATCACAAGGGTAACTTGATAACTGGGGTTGCAGATATGGAGATAATGGACGACCTCAAAGGTGAACAGGTACGTATTGGGGCTTCTTTAATTTAGAAAATCCTGCTTTAACTTTTATGTGAACCGTTCTCCCCTTGAAGTTATCCAAATTCATCACCGAACGAGACCCGAGTGTGGTGTGTGTGGATGGCAATATCTCCACAGAAGGAATTGAGGTGGTGATGAGAATATGTCAAGAGACCAAAAAGATCGGTTAGTGTGATCTTTTGACCAATTGTTATCCTCATCCGAACTGAAGATAACTATACTGTTCCTGACTTATGTGGTGTCGGATTACCAGTTGTTTTCGAGCCAACCTCTATCCCAAATTCAACAAAGATCATCCCAGCTTTACTAAAAATAGTCCTCTCAACAAATATATCTCAAAAGCCACCCCTTTCAGTGATTTTACCAAATTACGCGGAGTTGAAGGCTATTGACAATGCTATATCTGATCAAGAAGACAACAACGATTCATTGTCCTCAAGGGCATTCGAATTTATTGACTCCTTTGGAATAGATGGAAGGTTTCGCACAGAAGTTCAGCGTAAACTTCCATCTTGGGTCACCGATTTAGGAGTAATGCAAATGGCTATCAAACTTCTTCCTCTAGTCAAAGTACTTGTTGTCAAAAAGGACAAGGATGGTGTTGTTCTGATTGGTCGACTACGGTTGGGAGATGGTCTAGCTCAAAAGGGTATCATGCCTGGATGGGTGAGATCATCGGGGGGAGTAATGATTAAACACTTTCCGGCTCCTACCATCAATAGGCATGATGAAAGGTCCTTTAATGTCACAGGAGCTGGCGATACCCTTGGAGGTGCGATCCTCACTGGGTTGGTGAACGGGTTTTGCCTTGATGAAGCAAATGACTGGGATGAATTGCTTACTATAGCGCAAAGGTATTGCAATCTCTTGTGACTAGACAACGGATGTGCAAGACATGTAGAAATACTGATATGAATTTCTGTACTGTTTCCATGTAGAGCGGCGCTAAAGACTTTAAGAAGCAATGATGCAGTCGGATGTCTGCTTGATATCAAGAGTTCTATACAACAGCCACGTTCAAAACTGGAAAATTATGTTTGATCTATCAGATGCACAAATACTTATCCGGAGGTCGCTAGATACAACCACTATGAATGTACTTTGATAAGCAGCTGATTCAACCACATGTAGTTTTTTTAATTGATGAATCTGTTGTAAACTCGGGTATACAATGATCAGATAGTTGATCATAGGCTTTTTGCCTCAGATAAGTAGAGCATGATGCCTCAATCTTGCATTCACGGATGCGGAGACATTTAATGCTTCACACCAGAATTTTTTGATGACACATCTTGAATTCATGAGAAACGTAGGAAGATGGCAGTCCTATGGTTAAGACTCAACACCACAGAATATCTTAATAACAATCATGAAAGGTAGATAAGCATTGTAATACATGAACTCTCCCTAACTCAAGTTATAACCGAGTCCGACAATCAATGTTGGTGAACTAAGGACTTTGGTTCTTAGAAACTAAGAAATCTTGTCTTTGTATGACGATACTAAGAAGATTTGAGTTGCTGATGCACACATTAATGGACATCAGGACAAAGATTATGAAAATGTGGCATCTTGGTTAAGAGTCATCATCTGGTGGCCTTAACTTTGGCTCCATCAATGCTTCCTTGGAATCTGATTAGGTCAGATGTGATCTCAAGCTCAGGTTGTGTTGCAACAGGAAGACAGTGCATGCCTTCGGGGTTGGGTATAAATCTCAATACGTATCCGACCCGGTACCGCTTGATTAACCTGATCAGTTGCTTAGAGTGCCGTACACTGGTCTTCAGGACGTCCTGAGGCTGCTATGTGGATGTCTTGGGTTTGACCCCCAAATTGAGCAAGCCATTTTTGCTCAAAAGATGTTTTGACCATCATATATGTATCCCTTATTTTGTTTAAGCCATCAGTAAGATTGAGAGTGTTCCCAAAGCCTGAGACAGTACACACTGGTCCATTTCAGAGATTGATGAGGCAGTTGCAAGGAATATGAGGTGCACAGACATCTCAATGAGTGACATCTCATACAGAGCTTCCGTGCCAAATAGAATGCGGTAGAACCAACACTGGACCAATTACGCTAAAAAAGCGTTAGAGAAGCTGGTAGCGTAACTTTTTCACACATCTAACGGGACGCTTTCTGTTAGATGTGGTGATCTACGCTACCAGATCTTGGAGTTTGTGATAACTTGGTACAGCTATGTTTGTAGTGTTAGCTGGATTTCTACATCTACACTAACAGCCATCAAGATCTGATGTTAGCTGTTAGCTTTGGTTAGCGTACCCCTGCGCTGATTTAAGGACTTCACCACCTGAAGGTGAAAATACCTGACATAATCAGTTTTAACCAAGTGATAGGATCAATGTTGAGATGAGGAGCATGTTGGGCAGTGGGAGTTCTTCAATTGAATTTCCCAAATCAACCTTTTGTCTCTCTCTGTTTGAGTTTAGATTCAATTTTCAGGAACGCGATCAAGACTTCAACTTGATCGTTCAACTCAATTCAACCTACAAAAAAGCTATTCAGACTCCAGATACATACATTGTATTTGGCCTGACTTTTCAACAATCAGCTCCACACTTCATCATAGATTCATTACAAGATTCTCATCAATTCTACATGATCCACCTCACCAGTCAATTTCTTATTGCTTATCACCTAAACCGCTTCACCCCCATCAATTGATTGTCGCTCTGACCTTCTACCTATTCCCCATTTTGCATTGCTTCGTGGTTATTGTGGATCTATAGCAGAAATCATAAGTTGCTTTCACATTCCCTTGTTGACGTTATTTTAGCTGTTAGCGTGTTTTTTTAACGCACTACAACTATGTTATTGCATTTTAAAAAAATTGTTAGCTTGTTTAAGGTATGCTAACAAACAAGCGTTAGCTTACAGTTGCCAGAAAAATGCTAATGTGTCATTCTGTTAGCTTGCCCAACTACGCTATCCAGATTGGTCTAGATAGCGTTGAGTAGCGTAGCAATCCAGCGTTGGTAGAACAGGGGAAAATTTTGTTTCTCCTCTGTACTAAATCTACCTCATTCTCTCACCCCGCTATATTCTCACTCAGAAACTTTTCTCTTGATCTCTCTTGACTATCTAGGGCTTTAAGCCTTTAATTTTTGAGCCCACCAGCCTGCCCAGTGCTGAGAAGCCCAAGTCCACTAGAGTTCTGGTCTCACCTCTGAGGGTCAAAATGTCAAAGTTTCTAGGACTTAGACCTTTCTTTCCTCAGAGGTCCCCCCCACACCACTAATAGTAAATGTAATCTCATCCTTTAAAATTGAGCAAACGTCTACTGTGGTAGACCAGTCTTCAAATAGACTTAAGCTTGTTATCTTTAAGCAGAAACATAAGGTTCAAAGAATAAAACCTTAAAATGTGTTTCTAAGTCCTAGAGAGTCCTAAAATCACGCATTACTCTCTGAAATGGATATGTAACCAAACACTGTGCCTGTATGGTGTTTGCTAGTCAACAAGCACACCCCAATTCCCTTTGAGTCAGGCAGGGAGCTTGTGTGCACTTGTTGACTGGCAGACATGGCCTGGCCATGATGAAAGGTGCTTCTTTGGAGTGAGTGCACATGTGAACAGCATTCGCTGGTCTAACTGTACCCTTGAGCTGTTCTGCTGTGGGGAGATCCTTCCCAAAGGATTTGTCAAAAGTTCATGAATTATCAAAGAATTGGACAGCTGGTACTACTAGAACACAAATTTTTCTTTCTAAGATTTCCTGTTTAGAGAACTTTGCATTGATAGATTTCATGGGATTATAAGTGTGCTGCTTACCTAATTCTAACAAATACAGACACTGTGGAATGCATTATTTTCCTAGCTAGGGTGATACCACAAGTAGCAACAAAATGCATGTTGATGTGTGTCTTGGGTTTCAAACATAATTGTTTTTTTACAGTGGGGAGATAAGTATCTCCTCCATCACACCCAGCTTTGGGTGTCCATTTGCACTCAACTTGCTAAATCAAAGCATCCAGGTTTAAAGGGTCAGTGTCAGCATTCAGTGCTGCAGTTGGATCCTCAGGCAGCTTTGTGCCCGTTTGCTGGTTGAAAGCCAGTGCAGCCAGCAAGAAAAGTATCTGCTGGGAACAAATTTTAATGATCTCTTGGTTTTCAGGTAAGTTGCAGGCCTTGGTGTTCCCTATTGCATCTTTTGTGCACGGCTGAGCATGGCATAGTTTGCCAAGCAAATGATTGTGAATGGTGTAATAGAAGTCTTTGGGTGTGTCAAGCATAAAAGTGCACACACTGCCAACATAGATGCCTCAGGTTAAGAAACCCAAGGCATCATTGGAGGAAAATCCTCAGACAGACCTTGTCTGAGGTCATTTAGGTGCAAACTTTCCAGATGGCTGAATTTCATTACCTGGACATAAGGGCCTTCAGCAGGGATGAAGCTAGCAGGCATACATGCCATACATGTTGTCAGGGTTACATTTAGTAGTTTTATT